CCCAGCTCGCTTTTTTTTCTTCTTTTTCCAACGTATCCTCCAACAACCCTCCAACAACCCCGCCCCCGCCTGGGCCCCATTCATCACACTCAACATGCCTCTCACTGGCCACGCTCATCTCCTGCAGGTCGAAGGAAGATTGATTTGTTTGTGTACGTAGGCAAAGGCAACGAGAGGGTGCAAAAAAAAAGAAAAAAGGGAAAAAGACGGAGGTGGGAGCAGAGGATACAGAGAGGAGTGTTCTGTGTGTTTGTACGTGTGCCAAAAAGACTCCCAGCAGTCAGTCAGACGAGCAGGCAGACGACGACACAGTGCGAGAGCAAGTGTGTGATCGACTCCAGCTCGCAGACTAGACTATTTTAGCTCCTCTCTCTCCCCTACAGCCTTCACTCACCTGTCTCAGCCCAGGTGCTGTCGGCCCATTCTCAGAGCTTATTTATTCTTCTCTGCACGATTCCTACCCAAACAGAATATCCACAGTGAAAGTATTTTGTCTACCTCTCCTGAAGGAACTTACGTGTAGAGTGTTTGTACCTGTTCCTCTGAGCCTCATGGTGAAGGAATAATAGACTGTTGTGGATTATTGTACCTTCAGTGTGTGTGTGGACTGAGGAAGGAGCCTTAGGAGATCTTGAGTCAGCATTTCGAGTCCCGTCCTCCATCTTCCATGCAGATATGAGGACAAAATATTTAACAAAGCAAATTAATTATCACTGAGATCAAGTGTATTGGCTTTGTAAAGGTTTGATTTCACGCCTGAAAGCCACTCAGACACTTTCCGCTTTCTTCCCGCAGTGCCTTGTAGAATGTCGAGCTCCAATTATGTTGTCTTTTTTCATTTGGGTTTTAATTTTTAACTCGCTGGGGCTGAATCCTCGCCAACTCTGGCTTGTAAGCAGCAGTAAGTTTAAACACTCCACTCGTGCCGACACGGTTCAGCCGGTTTGTCGAGCCCTGTAACCGACTCGCAGTTAAGAGGAGTTTTTTTTAAAGGACCCTTGATGGCGTCCCTCAGGGTCAGAGCGATGCATTCGTTTTCCAATAATACGTCGTAATGTAAGGCGGATAAGTTGATGTCACTAAGGTCAACTCTAACAGTTTCATCTCTTTTCTGAAGTTGTCCTGTACATGTGTAAGTAGTTTGTTTTTCTTTTAACAAAAAAATGTATCACTCATCAAAATCTCTGCTGTGGAAAATTATGTTTTCAGCAGAATGCAGTTCATCACTTCATCTGACACCTACCCCCCCCAAGCCCCGCAGCAGTTTCACACATTAACAATAACCTCATAGACATAATCAATCTTTATTCTGATGGTTTAGTTTGCCTCTGTGCGTCATAAAGAGGCATCAATAATACATTTCAGTCTGTTACATAACCGGCCAAAAACTCCTCACAGCCGCTTTACATTTGTGCAAAAAAGATCCATCATTTATGAAAAAGTATTGATTGTGCTAAACTCCAAAAGTATCAGTACAGATCTGGAAACCATAAATCTTTTGCATTACATCTAATTTTGTTCAAGTTACAGTATTTGCCTTTTGCTCTAGTTCTTCTTCGTAAGAAACACAGCGTGCAGAGAGAAGGCCTCTAATCACTCTGTACTGACCCTCTGACCAGGTTAGAAGAGCCAAACGCCCCCATCATGTTAGCCATAAAAGAAACTTGTTTGATCATCATTCAAAGTGCTGTCTCTGCTGATTGCGATTGGCTTTTGAACCCTTGAGCAAGTAGCTAACCTGTTGTTGATAAATGAGCCGTACATGGACGCCAGTTCAGAGGTCGCTTTGGTCGGGTGATGTGTTCAGCTCTTCAAACCTCCCCTCCTGACGTCCTTCATTTGATAACTTAATCCTCTCCTCAGCCAGCGGCACACCTCCTGCCCCTCAGCCTCGTGTCTTTGAAGCCTGCTGAGCTGAAGTCTGAAGCGGTCTACGGGCTGTTTGGACTCGTTATGATTAGCCTGAGAGTGAGAGGGAAGAGTCCAAATCCTCTTTAATCAATAGAGCTGCTTCCTTAACAAGATGCAGGAGATGATTTTGTCTGCATCCAATTTGACCCTGTGTGCGTTCTTGCACTTCTTGGGAGTTTTTCAAACGCATTTGTCTCTGAAGAGATGTTATGAAGGCCAGCATGCCAAATGGGAAATGCTACCTCAATCTAACTTTTGATCAATCTAGTTACATGCAAAGAGGTATCCACATGTCAGTCAGCTTGGCCATCCCCCTAATCATTCAAAATGTAAAAACTCTGAGGCTTAAAGGTTGCATATGATCCTCCTCTTCAACAACTTTAAATAAGTCTCAGAGCTCCCCAAAACATGTCTGTGAAGTTTCTTGTTTAAAATCCACTCGTATCCTGTATTTGATCATGCCTATAAACCCCTCTATTTCAGCCCTGCTCAGAACAGGCTGTTTCTGTGTCTGTAGCTTTAAATGTAAATGAGCTGTATTAGACCACGCCCCCTCTCTGGAAGGGCTTGTGTGGCTCGGGCTTTCTCGCTCCATGCCCTATTGTTTACGGTGAGAAGGCAGACTCAGAGGGCAGAACAAACACTTAGCTGTGGGAGTGTCACCCACCTGGGGGAGGGGCTACTGCCCTTTGTGATGTCATGAAGGGAAACTCTCCAAAGACAGAGGGGATGGACTTTTCTCGTAATTGGGGGGTTTGTAGACAGAATAGGGACACATATTAGTGTTAGAAATAAATCTCCAGAAAGAACAGAAGAGTAGAAGAAAAGTACAATGCCCAATCTGGTAAACTTGATTCCACTCATTAACAGGTGGCACCAGTAAAACATGGATATCTTGTAAGGCAAGTTTTGCAAATGGAGTATAATCCATTTATGAAAGTTGAAACAGTTCACTCATGGGGAGGTCAACAATACATTTGACCGAGTAGTGACTGATGAAGCTCCACAGGTAGACTCTGGAGACGTAACATTCTGCCTCTGTTTTAAAAGTAATTGTGGTCGCCGGGTTCCTCGCTGCAGCCTCGTCCTTCTATTTCGTAGCTGACAGGTGTGTAACCTTGCTGAACTCTCTGCTGCTGTATCTCTCCCTCAAGGTTTAATGACTCCTTTCTGCCACATCACCGCTGTATTGACCGAGCTGTCATTTGCATAGCCGGCCTTCTAGCTCCAATGTTTCTCGCTGTTGGCCTCTGCCCTCTCGGAGGACGAGTCGCTGTGTGCATATTTTACAACAATACATGATTGAAACTCCCCCATCCCCCCACCCCCATCCCCTGCTGAGCAATAACAACTGATCACATTCAGTTTTTAGCACACCTTTGCTGCATTAATTTACATAGCAACGGAAGAAAATGTCACGACACTCTTGGCCACAATTACTCAGATGTAAGCATCACATTTACACTGAACACTCTCCACTTAAGGTAGATGATCTGTTTACCTTTTGGAACAGCGCTTGCATTAATTTGCATTCTAGTGATGAAAAAGACAGGCGGTCGGATAACTTCAGGCGTCGATGAAGCCCTCAGGCCTGTCTCTAGTAGCCTCTGCAACACATGCAAAACACTCCTGAGACTTTCTGGAAATTTTCAGGGTGAGCTGCATGCACGGCCACATTTTTCACCTGACTTTATCCTGACTTCTCCCAGCCAGCCCCTATACTCAAATTTCCACAGCGAGCAGGAGGGAGTAATGACGTTTAAATCATGCGTTCTTTGTGCATGTTTTCTGCTCATAGAGAGTTTTTTTTTCCCCACTCTTTAGTTCATACTGTGTATACATCTAATTACACGCTTGTGTGACCAAATTGCAACATAACATAAACAGATGCACCAGATTATGTTCATGTGTGAAAGAAAATCACGGTGTTGGAGGTTTCCTTTGCGCTGTTTCCTTTGCGCTCACTTGTTGTGGCTGGATCCTTTTCTTGAAGTTTTGCCAACAAAAAAAAAAATGAACTCAGTTACTGAAAAGTGGAAGTGATTTTTGTTTGCCTGCAGAAAGTTAGGAGAATATGCCAGCCGAGAGGTTGCGATAATGTTTCAAATTGCTAAGAGAGTATGGCTTAGGGGAAACTTAACCAATTTCTGTTTTGCACAAACATAACTGACTCTCTGCTGTCCCTGCTTGTTTTAACGAGACTGCAACTCTTAAATCCAAAAATAATCACAACTTTTTTCCCCCACTGTCATCCTGGTTTCTTCTCGTTTCAATCCCCTCCATCAGGCATCTTTTCGCTAACCTCTCAGCGACACCAACTTATCTGAGTGTTGCTAAATGCTAGCTGGAGTTTCAAATAATTAACTCAATGAAGTGTGATAATGAATGCTTGTTGTTATCCATAAAGCGCCCTCTGCTGGTGAAAGAGACCTGAAAACAAAACACTTAAATTAAATGCTATTTGGCTGGTTAATAAATCTAGTAATATCGGCCCATATCGGAGATAAAATAAGCCGATACTGATAGTCACTGGATAAGCTAATATCGCCCGATATTATCGGCTGGCTGATTAATCGGTCAGGCTCTATTTTTTTTCTACTTGTTGCCTGTTGTGTTGCACGCTAGTTGAGACATCAGCTGAGCAAAGTATAACTCTTCCTGGGTAAGAAACTAAGAGAAATAAAGAGAAGCATTCAGTTTTATCCTTTCCCAAACATCGAGTGTGGGAGTGTTTCCTTTCAGAGCGTGTTTTTTAAATTCCAGTGGAATAAACAGCAGCAGAAGACAGATGCTGATCCTGGGCTGAGTCTGCTGCGTGCCGTGTTGATTTCTGATGTAATCTCGCTTACTGAGCCGCATCGATTCTTTTGTGGCGTCCTCTGGGCGGGCTTGTGACAAACGGGGCAAAGCGGCGCTGTGTAAGTGGAGCACAGTCTTGGGGGGAGCCCACTGGAGCTGTCATGGTTTTGTTTCATGTAGGTTAATGCTCGCAGATGCATTCCCACACGGGCTCTTTTGATCGTCCCACCATCAGAAGCTTTAACAGTTTTTATTCAAAGCACACACACACACACAAAAAAAACAAAACTGTGATGTTGTGTCAAAACTGCAGCGTTCCTCCACACATCCAGAGCTCCTGTGGGAAGACTAAAAGTGTTGTGGAGCTCCCACACAGATGTGAGTCTTCATGTTCCTCTCTCTTTCTCTCTCTCTCATCAGAAACCGGCTCAGCCATCACCTCCTCCTGTATCGGTCTGGGAAACTCTCTCACGCCACCTGCTGGTCAGGCTGGAAAACCAGTCCCAGGTTACAATGGTAAGAGTAAAAACTGTGACACACAAACCTTGTCCTTGCTTCTGTATTTTTCTAACTTGGCCTTACAAAGCACTTTTAAGTCATTGATGTTATTCCGCCCCCTTAATTTCAGAGAGGCAGAGATGGAGAGCGCTTGTAATTCCCTGCTGAGTATGATGATGATTTTTTTTTTGTGTGCTCTTCCCTCCCCCACTAGTCACTGTGATCGACGATGACATGCAGGAGGTGAAGCCAAGAACCCTGGGAAATATTGTGGTGAGGTAAGCCGAGCGGTTTAACTCAGAGCTTAGTCATCGCTTTACTTTTCTCCCGTCACTCGCAACATGCACGCCCACTTTTAAGTTTGACCTATGAGTGAGCATATTTCACTCTCTGAAATCAAATTCCCAAACTTGTTTTGCCTTATATGTAAATAAATCCCCGACAAGCAGCTTGAATGAGTCTCCCAAGAACCTCGGCCCTTGTCTGGGTTGTAAAGATGAATCGTGTGTTTTTATGTGAAAGAGCTAGCAGTGCAGAGTGGACCTCCATTAAAAGCAATCAAACCCAGCCTGCTACCAGTCTGTTATCACTCCCCAGCTCCATTTCCCTGCTCTGTGTAAGTGCTGGTATCGACTCCGGGCCAACGCTGGGATTTCCGAGGAATTTCACATGAACAGTGCATGCGAGGATAACGGCAGGTAGAGCTGGAGACAGATGGAAACAGCTGCACTTCCTTCTAAAGTCGGTGCACGCCCTGCTGTTGATCAAACGCTTTAATCTCAGCTTCAGAAACATTACAGTCAATATCTACAGAGTGAGCTTTTAGTAATGCGTTATAGATTTTAAGAAGTGTCAAAATGATTTGGTGATCGTATCTTGATGCTTTAGTTTTATATATTTTAGTTTCAGGCGTATCTTTAGTGCTGTTTCACAGTTAAAGTTAAGAACAAGCAGCAAACGTCCTTCAGCTGATTATTCCTTCCTTTACTCTAACAGTGTTTGAAGAGAGCGTCTGCATGCAAAAAAAAACTGCAGACAGTATTTTCTTTAATCCTCTTTCTGCGGAAAATCAGCATCACAAACAAGATTTACCGTGTGTTGTCAGATTAATTTATGCAGAGGCATGTTTAGGGTTCATACACGGGTAATTGAATCCCCTTGGTCAAGACTCTGGTCAAGAAAGGGGGATTGCTTGTACTCTCTGGATAAACAGCAACTTGGTGATAGAGCTCTTTTATTTGTTCTGTGTGTGTGTGTGTGTGTGTGTGTGTGGATGTGTGTGTCCTGCAAGGTGAAGTCTGGGAGAGTGAGGCTGTGTGTCTAGACAGTTATCCATCTTCACATATCCCTAAAACTTCATGAGATGAAATGTAATTGACCTCCTTTAATTCGCATCAAATTTGAAGTGATTAAAAAGTTTGAAGATTTTCAATTAGATGATCGTTTTCACTTTGAAAGAGTCACTTAAATGTCTCCTCTCCTCTCATATCCTTTCCTCTCCTCTCCTCTCTTATCCTTTCCTCTCCTCTCCTCTCCTCTCCTCTCTTTTCCTCTCCTCTCCTATCCTCTCCTCTCCTATCTCTGCCTCCTCTCCTCTCCTCTCCTATCCTCTCCTCTGCCCCTCTCCTGCCCCCTCTCCTCTCTTTTTCCTCTCCTCGCTCTCCTCTCCTCTCTTTTCCTCTCCTCGCCTCTCCTCTCCTCTCCTCTCCTCTCTTCTCCTCGCCTCGCCTCTCCTCTCCTCTCCTCTCCTCTCCTCTCCTCTCCTCTCCTCTCTTTTCCTCTCCTCGCCTCTCCTCTCCTCTCCTCTCCTCTCCTCTCCTCTCCTCTCCTCTCCTCTCCTATCCTTCCTCTCCTCTGCCCCTCTCTGCCCTCTCCTCGCCTCTCCTCTCCTCTCCTCTCTTTTCCTCTCCTTGCCTCTCCTCTCCTCTCCTCTCTTTCCTCTCCTCTCCTCTCCTCTCCTCTCCTCTCCTCTCCTCTCCTCTCCTCTCCTCTCCTCTCCTCTCTCTCTCCTCTCTCTTCCTCTCCTCTCTCCTCTCCCCTCCCCTCTCCTCTAGATATAGTATTTATTTGTTATCATTGTGTTTTCGCCATTTGGGACAGGATTCCACTGAAGGAATGATTTTGTATCTCAGTGGGACTTTTGTTGTTCAACAATTCCTCAACAAACAATGAATTAATTTTAAGGCACGTACACTCTGTTGGTTTTTTGTGCCGTTAAGCCAGTAGCAAAAAGTTAATAAAGAATGGATTTAAACTTCAATTGTTTTAACATCCTCTTTCCTCCAGGCTGCCTCTACCACCTGGTGCTGCGCTGTCACTGTGGCAGAACCACAATCTGTTCAAGGAGCTCTACTTCACTAAGTTCCCTGTAAGACTCGTCTCCGTTTCCTTAAATCCCTGACTCCCCTGATGAATGTGTTATCATTTGCACAGCTGTCTGGTTCCATAAAAGACCACGTCAATTATAATCTAATGGCTCTAGATTAATAACGTTAGAGAGTGAGTGTTGATTATGTGGTCCAATGTCTCCCTCTAGTGTTGAAACCTTTCATCACAGAGCAACTCTGCTTTTTTTTTTTTTTAAAGCGTTTGAATGAGAAAGTCGAATAATTCTGAGAAACCAAGCAAAACCAAAGAAGTCCAGCTGAAACCCTTCCTCCTTGTCCCTCCATCAGGGTTACTACGACACCATGGACGCAGGTTTTGTGGACGAGGAGGATTTCCTTTACATCATGTCCCGGTCTGATGATGTCATGAATGTGGCCGGACACAGGCTGTCCGCTGGAGCGCTGGAGGAGGTAGGAGGACGAGTTCAGAGGAGATGAACAAAAAGAGATTTCCAGCTCTTCATTGAGCTCTTTTTAAAAACAGATGAATGTATGTGTGTATGAATGTGTGTGTGTTTGTGTGTTTTTGCAGTCAGTGCTGCTGCACCCTGCGGTGGGAGATTGCGCTGTTGTTGGTCTAGATGACACACTGAAGGGTGTCGTCCCCTTGGCCCTATGTGTACTCAAGAATGGTGAGGCCATCATCACAGATAACACTGTAACTCCTCTATGTCTGTACATTCTCCTCTTTGTGTGGACATCAAAGTCCTCAACAAACTTCAGTACCAGGTTGTGTTTCACCTTGATGGTATCGTTCGCTTCATGTTGTGTGTGTCTCAGGTGTTCAGAAAAAGGAAGAGGAGATCATAAGTGAGATGGTGAAGCTCGTCAGAGACACCATCGGACCTGTAGCCGCCTTCAGGAAAGTGCTTTTCGTCCGAGGATTGCCGAAGACTCGCTCTGGAAAGATCCCTCGCTCCTCTCTTGCCGACCTGGTCAACGGCAAGCCCTACAAGGTGCGTCAAGCTGTGATGCACGTACATGTGTAGAGTGACCATCTTGTGTATACAAATGTATGTATCTATATTTTATCTATCACAACAGATCAAATATAGATCGAAGAAAGATATCCGATATATCATATCGGCTGATATATTGGCATCTGATTTTTTTGTATCTGCCCCAGAAATCCCGTATCGGTCGGGTCCTAAACATAAGACAAAAATTCCCCCCTTACCAACAGACTTTGTAAAAGTTGCAGGATAAAAAACTCTGAAGGGAAATATTGTATGAAGGTGTTTTGTTTTCTTTGTCCCCCGTGTTGAGCAAAAGGAGCTACTGAGGAGGGAGAGAAACTCATTTTGAAAGTCAGAATGTGAATAATGTTCGTGCATTAGCAGACTCTGCACTCATTAAACACAGCTAAAAACCCATTTAGGATTTCATCTGTTTTAAGTAACCGACTCGGTTTTCTGCTGATCACCGCCTCCGGAGATAAGGCGATGACAAACGGAGGGAACAGAACGTCTTAATAACAGAGAACATGAGTTTACATCTGTAAACAGAGCCACTGTTTACTGCCTGAAAGCCTTCAAATTAACTTAATGTCAAAGCAGTTCTGAAGATGTCTCTGCATTATACAGAGGGTAATCTTCATGTTGATGAGACTGAATTTGATAATCATTCAATGATTGTTATAATTACTTCTTAATAAGCAGGTTGTTTACAGACGATACAGCTGGAAAGCTAAAGGTAGAAGCACACACAGAGCTTGTAATAAGACTGCTTTGCAACAATCAGTATCACTCTCTAAGGACTTTTCCATATTTAGTAGTGATGCAACCTGGTGCTCAAATAAACAGATTCTGCCTTTTTCTGATTGATTGACAAACGAAAGAAGCCGAAACACAAGAGTAGTGTGCAAGCATTAACCTGAAAGCAAAACAACCCCCCCCCCCCCCCCTCCATACAATCCCAACAAAATACTTCACATACCATGAAAACCTTTTGGGAAAGTTGAATAGGGGTATATACTCATCATGTAAGGCTCTGTAGTATGTATAGGTCAAAGTTAGTTACCTATGATCCTTTAAAGGTCACATATTATGCCAAATACACTTTACCATGTTTTTCTAACACTAATATGTGTCCATAGTCTGTTCAGCCAGGGACCCCAGGAAGAAGAATCCATTATAAGTTTCATGTCACCTCTCAGATATATATATATATTTTTTTTTAAATTACAAATTTAAAAAATATCAGTGTCTCCATGAATTTGAGCAGAATTCAATTTTGATTATCTCAACCAGCGAGATGAGGAACAAGAATCCATTGAAAGTTTCTCATCATCTCTCACAGATTTCTTTTTAAAACTTACAAATTTCTAAAATATCAGTGTCTCTACGCAATTTGAGCAGAATTCAACTTTAATTATTTCTTATTTTATTATTAAGATTCCACAGTAAAATCTGCTGAAAATTCTCAGGACTGCTGTCTACAAACTCTAAAATTCTAGGAAAAGTCCATCCTCTCTCTTTTGCCTGCTCCACTTTTCAGAAAATGTGTGCTCAAACAGGCCGTTTGAAATGTTTCCCTTCATGACATCACAAAGGGCGGTAACCCCTCCCCCAGGTGGGTGACACTCCCACATCTAGGTGTTTGTTCTGCCCTCTTTGAGTCTTGCCTTCTCACCGTACACAATAAGACATGGTGCAAAGAAAGCTTGATCTAAATACAGTTTTTATTGATGAGAGGTGTGTACCTTTTTGTAAGGAGAATATCAAACGCACTCTTTTTTTTCTCCTCCCACAGATCACTCCAACCATCGAGGACCCCGAGGTGTTCAAAGACATCGAGAAGCAGGTGGAAAAAGCTCTGAGACGTGAAGGAGCCTGAACTCATCAGCTGGATGGAGGAGAAAACTGAGGTTGGATAAATAAACATAAGCAGCTCTTTGCAGCTCCGGGGTCTGCAAACATGAACTGAAGTTAAGAAGTTTAACCTCACCTCCTTACATGAAGTGTGCCATTAAGTAGAGTTCATGTTTCCATTTTTAACTAGAACATTAACAGTCCATTTGTATGATGTCACTGTGCTGTAATACAGAATCATGAACAGACTCATTCACTGACAGTAGTTTTTTTTATATTTTTTATTATTGACAATGAAAATCTGCTTGCTCACCACTTAGTTTTGACCAAAGTACAAGAATAAATAAAAAAAATTGGACACAAAATAAAATGATTCATTTTCGTGCAAATCGAAGATGTAAAAACAAAGAAACAAAACAAAACAAAAAAAACAGCATAAGACTTTAGCTTGAGTCGTCCATCAGAAATAACTCAAAGACAGATAACGGGGCGACAACAGGCCTGCCCCGGACACTCCGACACAAACTGAGGAGTTAACAGATACACCAGTGTTAAGTCACAGCAAGCAACAGGTTTTTGTCTTTTAAAAGTCACCTCACTTCAACATGGTCATATACAGTCTACACACTATGAGCTAAAGCAGTCTGTCTTTCAGTTATTTCTTCTTCTGGTAACGTGGTGTCCGAGAGGAGGGGGGGGGGGGGGGGGTTATTTTTTTGGGGGGGGAGGGGGAGAGAAGGCCAGCTCGGCTGAGTGTGTAAGTTGTCCTTTTTTTTTTGTGTTGACGATTCGCCCGACAAAAAACATACAGTACGACAGGTGACAGGTTCTAAGAGTGACGTTCTCCGAGAGGAAGTTCTGTGCAACTTCAGACGTCTCTGGTTTTTTTCGTCCTTGGCTACTGAAGAGTCCGTTGAGTTGATGCGGTTGTATCAAAGTGCTTCGTCGTGTCCTTTCCAGTAAAATGCTCCGCGAGAAAGGACGGTGGAGTTGTTTGGGCTCAGAGTGGCTTTTTTCTTCTTCTCTGCACCACTAGAGGGCAGCATCTCACACAACATCCATCTCCATCTCTCTCCCTCTCTCTCTGGTTATTCATCATATTAGCACAATGAAAAAATAAAACCATATGTACAAAATGATCTGGGGGGGGGGCAGCAGGGTAATATGGAGACAGTTTAAAGAGCAGCATATATTAATCTATGGTCCACTAAATGAGGTGGCAGGGACATTTTTTTTGCACAAACTCTGAATATCTTTTTATACATAGATGTGTGTATATATTAAAAAATGGCATATTTATATACAGATAACCTACACATCTCCTGTAGAAGAAATAACACAGTACGTTATGCTTTTTTCCCCCCAACGAGTTACTGTACATGTAAAAGGTATAAATGGTGACAACAGGGAGGCCTGCAGGACAGTTTAGCACCGGCACCTGGTGCCCACATGATGAGGGGGTCAAAGGGGGGGGAGGGGGAGGGGGAGGGGGGAGAGCAGGGCTTCTTGGCAGTGCGTGTTTGTTCCTCGGCAGGTTGGCCCATCCAGCAGCTCACCCGTTTATCTCCATTCAAAACTGTACCTGGAGAAAGACAGAATCGGTGGCATTGAATGAAGTTTTTAAAGCTGGTAACGTTTGAAAAGAAAAGAAGGAGAAAAAACACACACACACACACACACACACACACACACACAGCCAAAACATGCCAAGAATGTAATTTAGAACCAGAATGAGCCAACGGAGTGCAATACAGCCTGCAGCTCATTATAGGAGGGAAGGTGACTTTGGAAGCACTAAAATGATGCCGCTAATCAATAGAGCTGCTAGGTAGGTAAGCTGCTTTGCTAATGTAGTTCTTTAAGAAGCACAAAATACTAATTTACTCATCTTCATCTTGTGAGATTTCTCCAAACAACATGCATCATATATTGTTTTAGTTTTTTTCTTTTCACTTTCAAAAACTACAGCAATTGGTCTCCTCAGTTGCCAAAACGCTTACAAATTCTTCTTTAAAGTAGGGATGTGTCATGATTTCCTTCCTTCTAAAAAGTTCATGTGACTTTAATCTCGGCTTAAAAAAACATTTTTTTCACTCTTTGTTGGTACCCGCCCCTGGTTGCAATATTGTACTTCTGCCAGAAGGGGGTTGTAGTGCACCGGAAAGCTAATTCGATTACTGCCATTAAATAAGAAAAGAAGCAGAATTATAGTGCAGAGTGCGGGTAAAAAAAGGCTGTGGCACATAGAAGGTTCTGTGTGGAACTCCTTAAAAAAAAAAAAAAAAAAGAGGATGAGGTTGAACGCAAAATTTAAAGAGAAAAACTAGCTGATATTTGAACAATGTTTGAATAGCACATCCATAGTTTAAAGAAGAGGTAAACATGACCCTGTCCCAACTTTTAGTTTTGAAATGTGTCTGGCATCAGATTCATAATGTGCACATTTTTAAAAAACAATGACACTTCTTAGTGTCAACATTAGATATGTTGTCTTTGTGCTGTTTAATATGGGGCTTCAATGCTTTTTGAAAATCATCACTTCTGCTTCTGCTTCTGCTCAGACCCAAAACAGAGGGATGAAGATGAGAAGTGGCCGAGACAGAAGTGAGGGGACATTGAACATCATTTTAAAATTCTTAATGAGCTTCTAGATTGATTGAGTCAGATTTTCAAGGACATTCTGTGTGCATGTTTTGCAAACTACAACAATTTTAAAGAGCTGAGAAGAGAGAGAAAGTTGCAAAGGCTTTTTTTTTTCAGGTGGAGGTGTTGGGAGGGGGGAGGGGGGTGCCTTTATGCAAATGAACCCGCTGTATGTATTCTTGCAACAGTGGAAAAAATGAATGCAGTCAGCAGCTAAGGTTAAAAAAAAGTCATTCTGTGTGCAGAAAATAGTTTAATAGAATCCGCTTTTTTTTTTGTTTCTTGAGCACGGATGTTCTGTACCAGAATTCAACCCCTTGCTCTCACTGAACTTTGTAACTGTATTCTGCCTTTTTATTTATTTATTTAGTTTTGCTGTGTGGGTGTACTTATAAAAAAAAGCTGATGAAAGTATTAGAAACAGCCTGCAGGGCGCTCTATGGGATGAGCAAACTCTTTGGAAACATAAAAAATTATTGTTATGCAGGTGCAAACTTTCCCATCGGAATCAAACCCTTTCAGCTCTGTTTTTTTTTTTTTTTTTTTTACTCCCCTCCATCTCGCCCCTTAGCTGCTTTAAATGTATTTTTGTAACCCTGCTCTCTTACATGATAACCCCGCAGTCACAGCTTTATATCATTATCATCTTTCTATCTACTCTACTGGGATGTTTTGTTTTCAATGATACCGACCTCAACCTAAAAGTTTAAGGCTTTATATGTGATTTTTCACACTTAAATATAATAGAAATCAAGTATATCCTCTGAAAATAACTCTGTGAGTCATGACTGTCTACAATGGGTGTTACACCCGAGTCCCACTGTCTGGGATGTTTTCAGAGTTTTCAGAGTCCTATCTTTAGTTTGTTTACATCGCCCGGACGGCCGGCCGACTCCTCCCCTCGTGTATAAAAGTTGTTTAATTGAGGGACTAGAGAAAAGAAGAATAACATACTGTACTCACTGCTTAACTGTGTTTCTAGATCACGCTCATTTCAGGTAAATTTACATGCAGTGTGAAGATACGAGCGTAATAAAGATCGCTAGCATGAGCATGCTAACACAACAATGCAACGCGAGTTGTTTTGATTTCATGCTGGTGCTCAAGGGCGGATCATCTGCTGGATCAAAAAATTGCATATAAAGCCTTTAACTTCCCTGTTCAAGAAACAAGACTCCTAAACGTTTACAACTGCTGAGGAATTCGTCCTTAAACTTCTATGAAAGAGACTACTCCTTCAGATTCACATATTGTTTTCTGTATGAGAATTGAAAAGGGTGAATCATCTTCTCACGCATCAGACATTAAGGTTGAAGTGCTGGCTTCTCTGTCAACATTGAGCAGCCAGCATGTCCTCCTCCTAAATCAACCTTTTCTTTTATGCTACACAACATATGCGTAGCAGGAGCCAGTGTTCTCTTTGCAGCTTTTTTTTTGCCTCTGATTGCCACTTCAATTGTGTTGGAAACTTCACAACACAGGCACAGTGCGGTGGCTCTGTCAGGCACTGTAGTGTATCAAGTCAAACACTTCTTCTTCTCCGCGCCTGGCAGTAACAAAAAAAGAGACAGTTTTGAAATGGAACTAGGGCAAACTCTCTTTAATCTGTACAGTCTGGATGAAACTGACGGGGGCCTATCTTTAGGAGCCTTCAGCGATCAAAAATCATGTAGATGAACTGTGTTAACGTTCTCCATGTAGGGGGCGGAGTTTATTTGAAGCAGGTTCTTTTTTTAGTTGTTTTTTTTTTAGATCAGACCATGACTCATTTTTCTTGGATAGACATTTAAGGGTTGAGATCGGTAAGAGATCACGACTTGCTTCTAACCTCACTGTCTTCTATCACCTTATGGCAGAAACACCGCGGATGCTCGCCAGTGTCCCTATTTTTTTTTCTCTCTCTCTTTAATCCAACATCTATTTTAAGTATCTCTGAGGAAAGCTGTGAACTTTAAGAGCGAGAGACGGTGTTGTGTTACATACAGCGTACAGTTTAAGGGGCCTCTCTTCCTCCTCTCAGCAGGAATAGGTTCTCACCGTGGAGCTGTCCAGCCGCTGCACTGCAGAGGGTCCGACTGTAGGGGGAGACGGTGAGAAAAGAAAGATTTTTAAAGCAGAAAAATATTCAACCCCTCCTTTTTATACCAGATGGATAAATCCATTCCTCCACTTGTCACCATGAGGTTAGACGTCCTCAACGGGATGAGTGAGGTCACAGACTAAACACTTTCCTCAAACAACACATTAGTTTTTTTTTTGTACCTTCAGAGGACGAAGCCATGTATCACAAACTTAAGAGGAAGATTTGATTTAGAGTGGACAACACAGGTAACAAGATTTGAGAGTATTTTTTTGGACGTCACAGACCAGGGAGCACAGTTAATAGAGACGGAGGGACACGGGGAGGCTGTTTAAGCGTCACTGGGAGCACCTTGTTAGAGGAGAACACTGGGCGAAATCAGCACGGTCGGATGATTTCCAGTCATGTATAAGAACCCAGGCAACAAACAAAAATTGCCAATACACTCTGCATTTATCCAAGGATAATTCTCCTTCATATCAGTTTACATCTTTATTTTTACAGTTTACCTTTTACACTGAAACAGCCG